ATGGTGGTTGGACCTCGACGACACCGGATCGGTCCCTCCCCAGGTTTCTCCACACGGCCCTGCGCCGCGTGCCGGGCATCGGTCCCTCCTTCGACACCCTAGGGAGCTTCTATGGGAGGGAGGCACGTGTCCAATGCGCTTTTCCCCACGCGGGGGGATGTGGGGCTGCGCTGCGTGCTTGGGTGGGTGGAGTGGAGGCGGATTGAATTCTATAGAACACCCCTGTCATAGTCATAGAAGTTCGTAGATCCCCACGTAGAACATGTATTGGACACCATGCCACGATCTATTGGGGGATCACATGGGATCACGATACTGCATGGCTTCAGTACAACGACGTGATAGAGGGTATTCTTAATCAATGTCGACACCCCTTGCCGTCCACCGGTTTGCAGTTTCGATCTGAGTGTTCAGAGGCTTTGGATGCGGCTGGCCGAACTGCAACATTCAGCAACATTCCGTTGTCCTCCTGCAGGTGTATTTTCTATTTTGTTGACATGGAAAGCAAAATGTCGGAAAGCCACCGCGGCAGAGTGAGCGAGTCGATGCAGCGCAGCGATCCACTGATCGCGAAGAGTCAGAGCCAGTCGGAGCCTCCAATGAAGAGACCCCTGGGAGGCTCTGACGACTGGAAACACCAAGAGACCACTGGGTCAATTTGGACTTCAGACCAGCGATGTCATCTATTTTGGACCATCCGCCCTGAAGGGGCGTTCCGGTGCCGATGCTCCATCGATGTTCTGAAACCACGCTGTGGGACGAAACCACGCAATCGAAGAAACCGCGCTGTGGGAGTTGTTGGTGACCTGCGGAGATGCGAATGCAACTCACGGCACGTAGCCTCAGAAGGAGTTGCAAAGGCCAATTTGAAGAACCCCCCCAGACTGCAAACTCAACCCACCTCCAGCTTCGGAAAACTGCGCGAATAGACACTGCCAGAACCAAATGGAACCTTGATCCTTGTACTGAAAGAGAAGCACATGAATCTTTCCATTTGGCGACCCCTCTATATCGATTGCCGTTCCACTTCTGCACACTCTTCACCTCCTCCCTTCTTTGCCGGACCCGAAAACGCCAACAAACCCGTCACCGTTACCATATGTGTTGTTGCTTTTCTTGTTCTCCCAAACAGTGTCGGCACACAAAACGGGGGCCTTTATACGGTAATAGTATGTAATAGTCAAGGCTGGACCACGTCACAAACCCGGTGTAACACCGGAGCGGCAGCCGAGTAGGTGGTGCACGACAAAATCCACCTCACCGAGCGGAGTGCTTCCCTCTTGGTGGAGCTGCTTGCGGAGGCCCTGGCAGGCGCCGCAAGACGCGGAGGAGGTGGTTTGATCCCAGACCCAGCCCAGATGGCGGGGGAGTAGAGGAGTTGATTCAGTGGAAACACTTCAAGTCATGTGGTGCTGAGCAGTGCTGCCACTTGTTCAGTGGCATACTCACCCAGAGGGACGAATCACCTTGATGCCACTGTTTGGTGGAGGAAACAAGAGAAAATGGAGTCAGAAGGGTCAGTGGCGCCACCGAGTGTACTTGGTTGTGCCACACCAAAGGTCCAGTGGTGTGAATGTTGTCGGATGATGCTTGAGACGAGAGCAAAGGAGCCCCTAGTAGCTTCTGGTTCCTAGTAGCACGGCCAGCAGCCCCTAGTAGCGTCCTTGCTCCTAGTAGTAAGGCCAGGAGCCCCTACAAGCTTTGTGGGTGTACCTTCTATGGGGTTTGTGCCCGCAAGCTGCCTTCTGTGGGTGCCCCACCTGCTCCCGTCGTCGTTCATGATGGGGTCAGTTCGATCTTGGAAGGAGTACCCAGCACATCATCTCTTCAGCAACCATGTTCTGTACACCCAGGCTCTTGTGTTCACAAACCAATGGCCCATGGCCCTGTATGCTTAGCCGCTTAGCCGTGGTGGGCTCGCGCGCCGTGTGTGCTCCGAAGGTCCACCCGCCGAACTGGCCGACCAAAGCGGGAGCGGCCAAAACGATCTGGGCGATGGCGTCGCGCGGGTCGCGGGTGTCGAAGGAGTCGATGTGAGTTCCTTTCGCCTCCATCGTCAAGCAGGCAACACTTCTTCAACTCACACTGAAAAAACCGGCGTTGCTGCAAGGAATCCTGAATTTGGGTCGACTTTCGGAAACAAAACTTTGGACTCAAGCGTCACTGGTGAAATCTGGTCGATACCACCAAAGCTCCAAGCCGTTTCTCGCGTGACTCACAGGGACACTTCGGCCCTTCGCCGACCCGAGCCGAGAGAGGCGGTGCGGCGCACCGGCTGGGCGCTCCGCCTGGTGCCGAGCAAGTGGCGGAAGGATCGAGCGCTGGCTTTGGAGGCCGCGGTCCTTCAGCGGTCTGGGGGGTCAAGCTGCGGTCTTGCGCTGAGGTCGTTGGTGTGAGGTGAAGCAAAGAGAAGTGAGGTGTGGGAGACAAGAGAGAGGGACCCCCCTTGGAGGTTCTTTGTATTTGTGGAGTTAGATGGAAGGCTCTATATATATATATACACAGCTCTCTCTCTCTCTCTCTCCCTCCGTCTATATCATGTATTCTTTTTGGATTAAATAAAGATGGGAACATGGGGAGATCTAATTGCCAAGAGTTTGGCAAGTTGCTACCTCGATCTCATCCGTTTTGGGGTTTGGATGCCATTTGGCATGGGTACTCCAGTGATTCCTCAACATGATCTTTGTCCAAGTCTTGGCCAGAGATGATGTCGAGGATTGTTGATCCATATTGATCCGTTCTTAGGGCTTTGCAGTTGTATTTGGACCTTAGGAAATTTGAAATTGATTTCCATGGAACATATCTTGACATCTCTTGCGGTCCGTCCTACTCCTACTCTTGACAATTCCCCTCTCTCTCTCTCTCGGGGTTGGAGGGACTGACTTGCCTCGAGGCGGTGGAAAAGGATGCAGTGGCCCTCAAGTTCGTTGCTGAGGATCTCGGGCTCTTCTTGCAAAAGGCAGAGTCAATGTGAGTTCATGCTGTGCTGCTTCAGAGATGGTCTTGGAGGATTTCGAACGGAAGCTTTTCGATGGAACCCGAAAAAGCTCGCAGAGAGATTGAAGTTGTATGAATTGTGAAAGGATATGAAAGTACAGTATGATAGAGTATATATATATATAAGATTACAATAGATTATAAATTATATTGCCTGCAGCATCTCAGCCTCGATCATTCTGACCAAACCACTCCAGCATGACTGTCGACAACATTTTCTGCCTGCCACCCCAAGAGTTGTGGGAGTTGTTTCTTCAGGAGCTTCAGCAGAACGCCGGCTTCGTGTGTGAAGCTGTGTCCAGGCAAGTTGGGTATATCCAGGGTATCACAGGTGGGTGTGAGCAAACGAGGGTCCCGATGGGCACAGACGAGACACATGGACCCCAGTGGGACTGCAGACGGCCAAACGAGTTAGACCAGTGATGACAGGTTCGCCCACCAAGTCATTCGCCTGCCGCTGTCTTTTCCGGTCGGCAGAGGTCGCCTCATCAACAACAAATGGGTTGTCCCAACGTGGTTCCAAATGCGGGGACGCGTCTGCTTTGACGCCAAGCAGTCAAGCATCCTGGGTTGGGAGCAACGTTTATCCACCAGATTTGTTTCAGGTAGGTAGAGTGACAGTGTGATTTTCCCCATGCATGGAATCTGAGATTTTGGTGGGCTGGAGTGGGGTATTTTAGTGTCAGGGAGTTTCTTTGCTATTGGACACTAGCAGGAATGGAGACGCACTTCGCTACGTCTTGGAAGCCCAGCCACATCGTTCGCGGTGGACTTCGGGGGGTGCAGGAATCCACAGTTGTGTACTTTCTTCGAGAGGTCACGCTATCCACTGGTGTTCCGGCAGGACTTCTATTGTTCATGTCGTACTTAGTCGAGTTCCTTTGCCAGCTTCTATTGTTGTTTGCACCTGAATGTCTCATGTTTGGGGCACTCTCGCTGGCCCTTTGGTGATGGGTCTGGTGTTTCACACCGGGTCGAACCACTCCTGGTCTCTGGGCCAAGCCGGCCCACCCCGCCGAAGCCGAGGCGCCGCCCCCCCCCAAGATCGCAACCACCCTTAAGAGCTTGAGGTTTGATTCTCAGAACTAGTCAACTGCCCCGAGAGATCAGCCACACATCCCCCAGCTGAGAAGTTTCATTTCGGTCACCAATCAGGCTCCCTTCACACCAGATGCGGATGCGGTGCACGAGTGATGGTGAGTGTCTCTGTGTGATCTTCAGGTGGGTTCAGAGTTCCTTTGGGACCTGAAGGCACGGTGCCATGCGGCCCTGCGAACCTTTTGCGTTTGCTTTCGATCTCCCGGGCGGTGTCAGGACGCTCCAGGAGGTGCTGCGATGCTGTTTTTCTTTTCAGTTTAACCCCCTGCCTTCGGAGCTGTTCTTTCCTGAACATGAGCCATGAGCCATGCGTGATCATCCGTGGGTTCTGCCTGGAGGCATTTTCTTCCCTGGAAAGAGCCTGCCAACGCTCCCCTTTTCCGGTGCCAGGTCGTGCAGTGTGCTGTGCGTCAGAACGGCCTGGCGCTGCGCTTTGCCGCGGGGGCCCCATCTCCCTGGCTTTGACGCAGCAAGAAGCTGTCAAGGACGTTTCAGGGTATCTAGGGATTCTTAGAATCCATCACCAAAGTTTGGAGTGGGAAGGCTGCCTGGGTGCCTTGGAGTTCTTAAGAGGTTTCTGTTTCTTTCAAAACCCGTCACAACAGCACCTGCATCAAGTCCTGCGGACCACATCTTCCAGCTAGTCATCTCGTCCCAGTTGTTTGAAAGAGGACGCTGCTAGGAGCAAAGGGCATCGCTACTAGAAGCAAGGACGCTACTAGGGGCTCCTGGCCTTACTAGGAACAAGAAGCTACAAGGTGCCGGAGCTGCGCTCCGACCTCTCGCTGGTGCGCGAGGCGGCACAGAGAGACGCCGATCCAGTGAGACGCCGGTCTCGCTGAACGTATCAGGTGGATCATGGTGGATGGAGTGAGTACCACAAATTCGGTGCGTCGGATTTTTCTATGGTTCTGTCAAAGAAGCCTTCAGGAGACTTCTCTTGGGGCATGATCCGAGCGCCCTTCGACCTTCAAAAGGATGAAAGGGTTCAAGGAGGCTTCGAGAAAGGGGGGTTTCATGAAGGGGGCCTTCAAGGAAGCTTCAGGAAGGAGTTTGAAGTCCGCATGGGAACGAAGGGTCTTCACATCACAGCATACATCACGTCCAGATCATCATCCCGTCATCATCATCCGTGTTACTTCACTGAAGCAGCTGGATCTTCCGCCACGCGTAGCAGCGCCAGGCCACGAAGAGCACTCCCAAGGCGTTCGCCTATGCCTGTGGGCCTTTGAAGTGGGACCGGCCGCCGGGCGTCCCAACGGCTCGTGCTGCCGCCACAGAAGCGTGCGGTCGGGCGAGGTGGAAGGTCGGAGGGACTTGACGAGGAATTGGAACCGATTTTCCGAGAATCTGGTCTTGGAAGCAGGGGCCAGGGGCCTTTTGGGATTTCTGGGATTCTTTTTCCATACGGTCCATACGCCAGAAACGGAGCTGTATATAGATGAGGGTGACCCACTCATTGACTGTTTTGGGGTGAGTTGGTTCCCAGCCTGTGGCCCATTAGATGCTCATGACTCGCTCGTGAGGCCTTCACCACATGTAGGGAACGTTTAAACGTTTGAAAGTGATGCTCATGGAACCAAAGTCCTGGTGGGATCTCAAGAACCACACCCACCATCATCCACGAAAGCATTGTTTTTTCTCTTGTGGAGTTGGTAAACATTTGTGAAGGCCCTTCTGAGGCTCCGGTGCATTGCTCCGGTTTTAAGAAACTACAGATTTGGTTGGATCTAGAATCGAATCAACGTGCTCATTGCGCCAGTTCCTTGCTGGCTCTGGGATTTATCATGGTCAGCACAAGTACGATTCAGGTCAGACATGTGTGTTGCTCGATGTTTCGGGAAGGGACGTGAAACAACTGGAAAGCGCATAACATTCTTCCATGGCAGATCTGGGGGGCTCTGACTCTGTTTTTCCTTTTTGTTTGGCACGGCAATCTCAGGCTGGTCACCGAGATGCTTAGTCTCGATGGGACTCTTCTGCAGCACTTGCCGCAGGAGCTCCGCTGTGATCGAGCAGGGAGCCCTACTTTTTCCTGCGGCCGTGGGCTGTTGAGGTGGTCGTTTTCCCAGAGTTGTGGGGCTTGGATTCCCTCTGTCGATGTCGGGTGTCGTACTCTCAGGATGTCGTCACTGCGGCTGTGCAGCAGAAGGGCCGGGCCATCATGCCGGGCCGCTGAGAGGTGTCGTTTGGGCCGCCAGAAATTCCCAGCTGTCAACAGGTGTGATGGGTTGTGTCAACAGTTGGAATGTGTCAGGTGTTCAATGCTTTTCACAGTCTTAGTCTTCTGCCATTTTGTTGCAAGCTGGCGGCATTTTGTTGCAAGCTGGCGTCAGCTGGCTGTTGCCGCCTGTGGAGTCCAGCTCCGCCATGTTCCGTGTAGGACGATCTCTTCCTTCGTCGTCACGTCGTGCCACGCCGTTGCTTCACCGAGATCCAGTGAGGTGGGCGTCTGGATCTCTGAAGCAGGACGTGACTGTGGCCCTCGAGGCCTGATCGCAGGGGGGGTCTGGTCTCGAAGAACGGCGGCACCGACAGACGGGTCGAGGTTGGAACGACCTGCGACGCATTTGGTGGCGTTTTTTGCCTGAGGATTCCTGGTGTTTTGGCACGGTTGACACATCAGCCGGGATTTCTTTTTTCGGCAGTGGACACTGAGGTTCAACTTGAACATGGGCCTGACGCCTGCCTCTTTCTTTTTCTGTTGGGGCCCATGCTCATGACTGGCAATTTTCTCAAGTCTCCCACAGTCTTCCATGTGTTTATAAGTACACATATATATATATATTTAGATGCATGTGTTCTTCTAACCTTCGAAGATCTACCGCAAGTCATTCCATTTCCCAAGACACCGGACTTCGGACACCTCGGACACCTTCCTCACCCAGCTCGTAGGCCGTGAAACAGGACGGCACCGCGCTGCAGCTTGTTTCGGAGGTCCCCGAATTCGGGCGAAGAAAGAGATGCGACGAGTGAAGGAGTGTGGTTTTGCGGGTTAGTTGCAAGACATGTTTGTACTGTATATGTTTATACTGTATATTCTTGCTTGCAGACGATCTCAGTCTAGTAGGATTGGTGTAGCAGTGTAGCCAGTGTAGCTATCTTTTTATTAGGTATACATGAATGTACAGCGAAAGCTGTTCGGAGGCGATTTTGCACAAAGCACTTGTGTTTTCGCTGTTGTAAAGCTGTTTTTCTGATGTGCCAGAAAGGTAGGTTTGGTGCGAACTTGGCTAGCACGACTTGCCTAGATTTCGGATCAAATCAGATGGTGGTTTTTGTGGTCACAAGAGAGTCACATGGACATTGGAAGATGGAAGAGGGAGGAAGGAGAAACGAAGGAGAAGGGAAGTCAGCCTGCAGGGACTGCGCCTTGAGGCCTTGATTTTCAAAAAGTAAAACGGCCAAACCCACGTCAAGTGGAATGGTGAGTACAATGCGAAGGTCGCCAGAAAACCAGATCAGTTGCCACTATCACTTTGAGGTGGCACAATGGCAATCTCTGAGGTACCGACACTGGCACTCACTCTATTGTTTTCTGTTTCGAAGATTCGTACCGTCGTACATTTTCCTGGGTTTCTATGTTGTTTTGAGCCTTTCAGAATTCAGGCAGCTTGGATAAGCACAAAAAACATTCGACAAAGCAGATCTTAGATTCACATCATGTTGGTTTGCAAAGATGGTTGAACAGATTGTAGTCTGATAGATGAGTGCCGAGAATGCACGTTGCTCTATCATATAATCAACCGATCGCAGTCCTTGCCAGGCAGTGAAATCCTTTCGGAATGTGGGGTTGGAGGCAATGATTGGTCCGGAATGGGTCAGTGAGAGAGAGAGAGAGAGATCGCACCATGAGAGGCAGCACCGACAAGTTTTGCTTGTTGTTTCCACCTGCTTGCAGCCTTTTTGGCAAACAGATTTCGCAAAAACCCTCGCAGAATCGTGACTGCAAGTAGAATCGTCCGGACATACATTTTGGGGATTCATTATTCAGCCAGCTCTAAGGACTCTGACTCAACATTGAAGCCCAGCTTGGTTTCAACCAGGCCCAAGTTTAATGAATTCTCCAAACAGGAGCTCAACTCAACCAAGGCCTGATTATGTTCAATGATTTTCTCATGGTTCTACCATATCGGATCTTCTTTTTGCACGCGTTGGGACTTATCTCCCCCAGCGTGCAGCAGTGCGTCTGCACGGGCATCCTTTCCTCGCTCCAAGAACGGGACGGCACTGCGACTGCACTGGGCATTTTGGCTTGAAGAGATCTGGAAGACTTGCAGATGAGCAACCGCGCCATATGGTCGATGTTTTTTCAAAATGCACCGATGCGCACAGTGATGTGGAATCTTGCTTGATAACCCACCGTGTAGGACTTCTTCATATGGGGTGGGTTCTATAAATCACTTTCACCTCCTTTTTTTGGAGCCAGGAACAGCCCCACACCTGGTTTTGTGGAAAGGTCATCAGGTGGTTTGAGATTCCAATGCCCTGCCCGCTGAGATCAGCTATATAAGAAGCCGCGCGCTAGTAGGCGCGCGGGCGTCTAGCACCCCCGCCTACTAGCTTGAGCGACACCTCCAGCCCATGAAAGCCAACAGTTTCCTTTGCACTCATCAGCTTTTCAAGCACACTCCCAGGAGTGGCAAGCCTGCAGGCTTAGCCTGCAGTTCTCGTCCAAACCCCGCAAGACACCCTCACTCAATTGAGAGAGTCCCAGCCGCTCACCACCCTCATGCCACATGCCATCCCCATGCTTTTCCCACTCTCTTCCCAGATAGACAGCCTCTTCATGCGTCCAAGTTGTTCATGTCATGCCAAAGTTCTTCATGTCCTGAACATGTCAACCCCATTCATTTCTCACATGGAGAATCGTTCAAGCGTTCGTTCACCCTTCTTCTTCCACCCGAACACCCAAAGCGATTCGTGGCGCCCGCGACACCTGGTCGTGCCCCCCCGTCGTCATGGGCGACCCACCGCGCCATGACCCAGCGATGAGCGGACCCGGCGGACCCGGCGGACCCGGCGGACCCGGCCTGGCGGTGCGGATCTGCGGACGCCGTGCGGAGCGCCCAGTGGTGGGCGGTTGGGGGCGCTTGGGGAGGTTCAAGACTGGAGGATCAGGATCTGGATCAGAGGTGTGGGGTACGGTATGGTATACTGGTTGGTGAAGCATTCTTTTGAGAGAATTAAGGGGATCCCAGGAGACATGAATGGCCATGCATCGCCGTGCCATATCATGCCATCCACTTCAAATGCTGAGTCAGAGTTGATCCCGACACCCTTTGGGTGTGTCATGCAATCATTCAGCATGAAAGAGTTGATTGGAGAAAGCGAACCACTGTCTGAGACAGGTTCGCACTATATATATATATATAGTATTATGTTATATTATATAATATATTCTATTCACAACTCAGGCAGCTTCAATCATTACCAGATAGGCAGAGTCCAGGCAGAGTGTCTTTTTCGGGGTCTTCATACTCACTTTTTCAACATGAATTCAGAAAAAGACTGATGGACAATGGACATTGACTCGACATATATATATATACCTGTGATGCGCTCCCCCTTGCTTCAACCTGGCTCGGCGGATATATAGTTGCTCTCATCTTTCAACATCTGCCCATGCTTCACGTCTGCTGGGCAGTGTCCGGAGCGCTGGTGACCAGCTGGACGGCGGAGGAGCTGGAGGGCGGAGCGTCGGTGAAGGCGCTGAAGGCGCGGCTGTCCAAGCAGAGGCTTGGCTATGGTGGTGAAGGGTCTTTAGGTTCGATCCCAGTCTTTAGGGTCGATACTCATGGATTTAGGGTCGATCCATCTTAGACAGATGTTTGTTTGAGAATAGCGGGATTTCATCTGTGTGTGTTGCAATTTTTTGTTACCCAACAACTTTTCAACAGACAGGAAACTACAGGGCATCCCCATCGTGTGAAGAGGTTGAGGTTTGAGAGGGGATGGACATTGGGGCTCACCCTAATAGGAATAGAATAGATTGTGACGAGTATTGTGACGCTCTTTGGAGGAAGATTTCCTTCCCCTCCTAATCTACCTCAGTTAGGGAAACCCTATAAGCACAGCCTAAAGTTTTCAGCTGAGGCTGGGAGCCTCGAGGTTCAGGCAGAGATGGTGTAGAGAAGATCTGAGCAGCTATGATGACCAGGAGATTGGGTGATCGGAGATACATGATGCACGAACATGTGGAGCAAATACCATGGGTACGCGGCTTTCAAGAGGGGGGACGTGCCAATGATATTTGAGTAAGGTTCCACTGAACAATTGGAGTGCGGGTGCGTGTATAGGGTGTATACGTGGGAGGATTATATAGGTCAAACCTGAACAGCACCTTTTTAGGTAGAAAACCCAACAATGATAGTGGTATGTTAGAGGAATGATCCAACACCCCCCTTGACAGAATTCAGTCACGGGTAAAGAGGCTAAGAAAGATAGCAGGGGGGGGATTGCAGCATTGAGCATCATATCACTGACTTGGTGGGAAGTTGAGTGTGTACAGTGTGTATTATTTGGTATTCCAAAGATCTGGATGCATTGCCAGGAGATGCTTTGTCCTCCTTCCACCGTGCAGTTGCTGCTCCTAGATTTCTGGCCGCCAGATGTGAAGCTCATCTCTGCATGTGCTGAGAATCACTGTGAAGAAGTTGAAGCCCTACTGCAGAAGCCCGTTTCTCCAGACGTCCCAAACCATGACGGCTGGACAGCGCTCCATATGGCGGCTTGGGAAGGCCACTTGCAGTGTGTGAGTTTGCTGCTCGAAGCAGGGGCGAAGCAAGACCAAGAAGATCCCTTCGGCTCAACGGCTTTGTATTGGGCAGCTGAGAATGGTGATCCCAAAGTGGTAGAGTTGTTGCTTGCTGCTGGAGCCGACCAAGACAAAGCTGCGAATGATGGGACTACAGCCTTGCACATTGCAAGCGCCATTGGCCATCCGCAAGTGGTAGAGTTGTTGCTGGTGGCCAGGGCTGACAAAGACACGGCAGCGCTTGATGGAACCACAGCTTTACACATTGCAGCTGGCAACGGCCACACCAAAGTCGTGCAGTTGTTGCTGAATGCTGGGGCTGACAAGGACATGCCTAGAGCAGATGGGGAAACAGCGATGATTTTGGCGGCTGAGGCCGGTCATGTTGAGGTGGTGCGCCGGTTGCTGGCAGCAGCAGCAGATCACGAGAAGCAAGGGGGGCAGGATGGAACCACCGCTTTGCATCGAGCCGCGGGGATGGGCCATCCCGAGTTGGTGCAGTTGCTGCTGGCCGCTGCCGCTGATGTTGAGAAGAAGGCCTTCGGAGGCGGAGGCAGTGCCCTGCACTTCGCTGCTGGAAATGGCCGCAGCGAAGTGGTGCAGGTGTTGATTCAGGCGAGCGCCCAAGGGATCACAGAGTTGACCAGAGATCCTCGAATTGCGTTGGACCTGGCGGCCATGTTTGGGCAACTGGAGACGGTGCAGCTCTTGCTGCAGGCCTACAGGGACCACTTCAGTTTCGGCGACCTCTGGAGCGCCTACGCATCGGCCGAGCGGAACGGACACCGGGATGTCATGCGCGTCCTCTTGGCATGACCGGGAGACCGGAACGTTGTCCAGCTGCAGCACCGAGGGATGTTCACTTCTCTTCCGTTTGGATTCCGCATCATGTCGTAAGAAAGATTAAGAAAGTCAGTAGATTGATTAAATCAATGCTGGCACTGGCACACGTTGAAATGGGCCACCTGCACACCTGTTGAGGGGGCCGAAGTGGTGAAGAACAGCGACGAAGAAAAGCGTGATGTTGCCTTTGCAGAGAAAGTGTGGTTCTGTCGATGTCATGGTTGTCACGGTCAGGTGTTGAAACGTTGTGGCAGCTTAATAACCATTAATACCTAATCATTATGCTTAAGATCACACTGCTCAACTAGATCGTTGACTCGCACCCTCTCACATATATTCTTTTTATATAATTTATACAAACTCTCGGTGTACCAGAACCCCTCCTGCAAGTTGGATGCACATGGCACATTCCAGGCATCAAATTCTTTAAATGATGTGAAGCAGTTGATGAAGATCCAGCAAGCTGTTCAGTTCTTTTTGCATGCCCCTTGCATGTTCACCAAAATACACGGTTTGGACGGCACCAACTTTCCACAACTTAACCTGAAGAACACCGACGAACATCGAGCAGGGTCAGATCGATGCGTGTGCATTGCCTTCTTGTTCTGCCCAATTCACCGGCTCAACATGTTTCTGTGGTGAAAGAGACCAACTTCCATAGTAGATGGCCTGACCTGCGGCCTTGCTTGATTACACTGGGATTACCCTCGGTCATTTTTGCGGTCCAGCTAAATGAAGCCCTCTATTCTTTTTAAAGGACATCCTTGCCAACTTCTGCTTCGCTTGGCCAAGGCTATGAGGCCTCGGAGGAGGCGAATCCTGGTTTCTTCCAGCGTTTGGAAGGCGAGAGCGACGACAGCGAAGGGTCTGGGAGGAAGGACAAAGCAAGGGCTGCAAGAATGTTGCAGAGAATTGAATATACACCCTGGAAGACTAACATAGACCCTGAAAACCACTGGTTGGTAGAGGAACACATTCTTCCAGGGGGCCATTGTCAGGGTCCATGTTAGTTTTTGGGAGTGTACATCTATCAGGATGTACCATGAATGTGTACCATAGGTCTTGCACACCAACAAAGAGCGCTTGGGTGGTGATGATGGTGGATTGATGGGGTGTGTGCCCTGTCAATGATCGCTGAGCTCCAAATGAAAACCTTTGAACGCGGTGCTCCAAAAGGAGGGTCAATGCACCCTTTGATTGCATGTAGGCTACGAGCGCGACTTCACTGGTGCTCGAAGTGGGAGTGCAATGCATAGATGGCCTGACCGTTGATTTAATAGACAGAAGGGAGAACCCGCAAGTGTACAACTTATAGGTATATGTTAACGAAACTGACCCCTCTCTGATTCCCGAATTGGTGCAATGTTTGTTGTCCCACTTCGAGCTGTAGGACTTGGGGACCTGGGCGCAGCAGAAGCTGCTAAAAAGTTGTGAAAAGATACAACACAACTATATAAATGGAATGAAGAACATGGATTGCAGGATATATGCAACGAGCAGACATGTCCTGATAGTATGGGCAAACATGCAAAATGACGGAGTCTCATTTATCCAGTTATGCATGTCCTATTTAATATTCTGGTCAGCCGGGATGCCCCGCAAAACCTGCAATAGTGGGTCCATGGAATTTCTTGCATGATCTTGTTCATCAACTGGATAGTACACCTGCCTTTCTCAAATAAGTTTGTTCCCACCTTTTTCCATCCGGCCTCCAATGGGCCTTTTTCACTTCTCTTTCAACCGCTTTGGCGAAGCCGTTGGCCGCGCGGGTCGCAGGAAGCCTCCTGAGCGTGTTGCATGAGGGCCCTTCGAGGGCGATGGCTACTGTGGGCCCGGATGGTTCGTTGGAACTCCAGGTGGGGGGGAGTGGAGACTGCGGAGACTGCGATGGCCAGCTGGAAGATGATGGGAGTGGGCATTCTTTTTTCTCTCTCTTTCTCTATACTGTCTATAGTGATGGTGTCTAGATGATGTTCTTTTTGGAGGCTAGCAGCGATGATTGAATGATAGCACTCTTTCACCGGCAGCTGTGTGGACGGTCTATTTTGGCTCAATTTCAGATTGTTTAGTCTGGGATTTACATAGAAGATGTGAGATCCGGAACCAAAAACGTCGGAACCAAAAGCTGTTTGTGATATCAAGTGATATCTAAGATCAAAATGGAACCAGAAACCAAAAACATGTGATGATAACATGTGATATCATGTGATTCGGAACCAATTTGCTCCAATGTCTGACATTCTGTTTCTGTTTCGAACCCACACTCGTTCCAGTCCGTGCGAACAGCTCCGTCCTCGCGGTGAGGAGGAGCACCTTCCAGAGGAAGTGCGAAGAGCCTTGGGATGCAACCGATGCTGGGTCCGCCCATCGGACGGCACGGCACCGGGCGTGGGTCCTCCGATCGAGGGTCGGGACATGGAAGCAGTGCGGTTGGTGGTTTTGCAAAGACTTGTGATGAGCGGCTGATGAGCGGGGAAGTCGCTTTCCCCTGCAGTCAAGGTCCACCAAACTGATGCAGAGGGAAGACCGAAATACAAACACGTATCGCAGAGTTTGCAAGGGGATTTGACTAGTTAACAAGTGCATCGCTACTCCTAACAACTCTTTATGATGATCAACTCTGGGAGTTCCACGTCCTGAGCTGCACAAATCCATCCTGGAGCTGCTCTCTCGTGCACTCTCCAGCGACTGGAGTCGGTCAGGGATGCCTGTGAAGTATCAGAAGTTGGCTGAGCTTCCTGTGACTGAAAGATGTCTTCTGTCTGTCCTCAGTCGCGCCAAACAGAACCTGGGTTCAGATCGTCGAAGCACCCAGCAACCTGGGCTGGTGGGTCGGGTACAGTAGGTGTGGACATGGTTTGGCGAATGGAACGCTTTCAAGACTGCACGTTTTACCACTGGAATATACAATATATATATATAATTATATATATATACAAACAGCATGGTTTTCCCTTGGCCAGTCTTGTTGCAGTGCGCTTTTCTAAGACTGCCCTTCTCGGCGTTTGGCCTTTTTGTGTCACGTCGGACATCGTGTGGTCTCACATCGAGGACTCTTCCCGGACATTTGGAGCTTCCTGCAGACGGGCCGTTGGGAAGCAAAGGTTTCTGCCAAGGGCCTTTGGGATTTGCGAAAAGCCTTGTCCTTCCTGAACCTCAAGGCGCACTGGGGGGAACTTGGGGGATGTAATTGATTTAAATGGTATGTTGGATGGCAGAGGTTGATCTCTTGGATGCTGGTCCAAGCGTTTGGGGTTTTGTCTCTTCTCTCCAGATTTGCATGGAAGATACCGTCTTCTTCAGATCAAACCTCTTAGTCCTTCTTGAGGAACAACGCCTGCGGCGCCTAGGCAAGCAGTTCCATGTGGCCGCCGGTCGAACCGGCTCTAACCGGGTCGATCGAACCCATTCGGGCCGCCGGTCGGACCGCGGTGGCGGATGGAAGGTCCGTCCGTCTGCCCTTTTTTTTGGCGCGTTGACAGACGTTCCATCGGTTCGATCAATGAGCAAGAACACCATTCGCTGCCGCCGCCCACTCTGCATTACCATGTCGGCCTTTTTACCAAGTGAGGTTAGGAGCAAGGGGTCTACGGAGTCTATAGACCACTCACTGCTTTTAAGACTGCATTCTCCCAGATTGTGTGGGGCTTTAGTCTAGGGGCCGTTCGCAAAGTGAGCTTCAAGCCCTTGGCTTCTGAAACGCTTCGTGAAGACAAGGCAAGCTGCGTCCAACGCGTGGTGCTCGAAGGTGCACACCTTTGTTGTGTTACCCTGTCATCAGCGTAGACACGGACAAACAAGGAGGACTATGAGGAAGGTGTGCGAACAAACACGGACAAACAAACAAACACGGACACGGACAAACAAACACGTGTTCCTTTCCAAGGTGGCTTTTGCACCAAGCCCAAGCATGTCCAGATGCAAAAGCATGTGACGCTGAGTGTCACCAGGCCCAACACATGCCGGCGGATGAGCGGGAACCGGTGATCTTCGTGCACAAGCACATGCTGACCTTACCCCAGGCGCCGCGGGACCCTGGGCCCCGGAGACCGTCCACCCGACAACGGGGGGCACCGATCACCTCAAATGGAGGCTCGCAGAAGAGTATCGCAATGTTGTGGATTGTAGAGGCCGCACAAATTTTAGTGTTGGGGAACGAGGGCACAATGATTTCAGGGGCACCTTTTGATGTTTGGGCTGTGTAACTTCTTTGCAGAACATGACAGAAAAGGGCGCGCCATCCATTTGACGTCGCTCGGCGCTCGTTGAGAATTGGTTTGCTTCATAAGGATCTTTCGGAATCATCACTTTCTCGAGTAATCAGTTTTCCAACTAAAGGGAGTTTGGAGTCTTAGTGCAGTGCACGTGTGTAGAGTTGGGTGTCCAGTCTTAAAGTTGTGCACAGTTCCTCAACCGCAACTTACCCGGTTGCCCGTGCCCGGTGCACAAATCGTTGTGTTCCCTCGAAGCAAATCAATGCCCTCTCTGAGTTTTCATGGAGTTGGCCATCCTGAAACTCAGGACTTCAAGACAAAATAAGTCTGCAACGGTATGACCAAAAGGGATCAAAAACACATTCGTGTTGTGTACTTCCTTTCCGAAGAAACGGACCGCGGCAGAACGCACTCGTCCCACCCAGGGCTTTCCGCCCGTTCGCGCCCCAGGGCCTTGGACCCGATGAAAGTCCGTTGGCGCTCTCGTGGCTGGAGGGGCCTCCGCGAGGTGAAAGGGGGGGGACTGAGGGGGAGGGGGACCAGGTTTCTGAAGGTTGAAGCGGCTTCCTTTTAGTGCTCAAATGTTTAAACGCATATTTGAGCATCGTTTTTTTGTTTTTGGGGGTATTCCCTCTGCACCTTTGCCGGCCTGGTCTGAAGAATTCAAGCAACACAATACACTGAAGCAAACAATGACTCAACACCTAGGTTTTGGTGATGTTTCAGCCAAAACCACTGTAAACAACAACAGTGTTTTTG